AGAATTAGTATTTTCTTTTTCTTCTTTTACATATTAATTTTTTTAGTCTCCGTTCTCTACCTAGTTAGTCACTGGCCTGCCTTTCTCTTCTTCAATATCTTCGCCTCGGGCTCTTTTTTTTTATCGCTGCTTCTGTGCTACCTCTCCGCCTCCACCACAATTTCTACCTTGCCTCGCACGCCCTGCCTAGAGCCTCGCATCCACCTCTCTCCGCCGCTTAGTTTCGTCGATATATTCTTACACGACTCTCGGCTCGCCGACCGGTTCCATCCCCGCCTCCCTTGCTCAGACACTCCATCTCGAGGACGGGACACCTGCCGTCAAAGTCGATCTATCAACCCCAGCCAGCCGTTCTGGGTGTCATGCTTGCTTTCGCCTGTGTCACAGCTGCTCGACGTTAATGCCGTGCTTTGTCTCTCGTCCGCATTCCCACTCTTCGACGCTCCACTAATCACGTCGGATCGCTTCTCCATTTGCGCAACAGGCACATTCCCCTTCCATACCAGCTGCAATCTCACTTCACCCTTCCCCTCTCCCCCTTGCTGCTACGACCCGTTCAAGCTTTAAACGTTTGTCGACAAAACAGACCCGCATCATTTTTTCCATCCGCTGCTCTTTTCCTTACAATCGTATGACGGCGCCCTGCGAACTTCGAGCTTTGCTGAGCATGTACAGAGCGTGGTAAAGTTGCGATTCTCTTTTAACAACAAAATTCGTCTACGGCTATTTGCTACGCCTTGGGCTTGCAAACAAAAGGGGAGAGAGATTAACGCCGCCTTGCGTTTTTCGCGGTTATACTTCTCTGTTTAACATTTTTCACATCCTTCCCTTTTTTTTTTTACCCGCTTGCCGCTCATCCTCCCTTCCGTCACCCCTTCAATCCCCATCGGACGCTGCTCGACGTCGGTTTGGATCAAAACATAGTCGGTTCCTCGGACCTTTCCCTCCCTACACGCCTATCCCTTCGCTTGGGGACCCGTTGCTTGGTGAGTTTCTACTCTCCCTTTCACCGTGTCCATGCTACCCTCGTGCCTGTTTCCATGACTGACACCCGTACCGCTTGCCATATCTTTAGGGACCTCGTGCATTTACACCGCGTGTTAACCTTCCATTTTACAACAAAGGTCTTCGTCACGCCGAATAAGGTATACGGAGAGTTGTGTATATATACAAGGTTGTGGGAGAATCCCTCAACAAGTGAATATATACGTGATAATAATTGAGAGTGCGGTGACGAAATGACAGTTCTTGCAGGGCATTCAAGAAAAGTGAGTTACTGCGTTGGCGAACATTTATCTATTCAGTGAACTCATGTATTCTAGGCCCAATCAAACGGTTCTAATATGCAGCCCTCCAGTTTCGCAGAGCGAACACGAGGGACTCACGGAAGTATCGGCAGCGGTTTGAGCGGTAATCCGAGCTGGAGTATGAGCACAATCTGGAGGGATAGCCTGGATGGTACGTACTCCGACTCCTTGTATACATACACGGAGCTGCACACTGATGCAAATCCCTTTTCCTAGACTCCGCAGGGCGGCCAGCACTGCAGGGTGTATCTGGCTCGAGCTCCTTATTAGCCTCCTCCGAGTCTGATGGCTGGAACGCCCATCCAAATGTCCCTTGGCCATCGAGAGGACAGGGCAATGGGATGACCACGTCTCCTGTCCAAACTCGCTCTACTGATCACAGCGTTACTTCCCTTTCGAATGGTAACGACTCCTCAAATTACTTTGCGCAACCCACTTCCTCCGGACCAGGGCCATCGCCTAGTACGGGTCAAATGACTTATTTAGATTCTGGGCCGGAGCGGATCTCCCCTGCTGGCGAAGCGAATGTTATGGGAAGCCGCCCTGTATACAGAAATAATGACCGCAGGAACGCCGGATACGCTGCAGCTCCTGTTACAGCTGGTTACCAAAGCCAATCAGGATACGCAAGCCCGCTGGATACTACAAGGCCCGAACATATCGCGTCAATCAATATCCCATCTGTGTCTCAGGCACTGTCGGAGAGTATGGAACCGCGCAATACTCGCAATGGTTACGCTCACTCGTCTCATAACTCGGCTTCATTTGTGCCTCAGAGACCTGCTCATTCTGCCTTTCCCTCATATCACTCGGAAACCCAGTTCAGTGGCCGCTATGGTAGCGAATCGGCGAATGTCAACGCAGCCATTGAGAGACTCCAACTGAACGACACACATAGTGCTGTAAACCGACCACCTTATGTGTCTCACGCATCATTGGATAGCTCAATAAACCGGCTGAGGTACCAAAACCTAAACGATCAGGATAGCTACCAAGCTATGCAAAACATCGGTGCCGAAGTTCCTGCTCACAATCACGGCATGACTTATCAAACAGGGCGTTCGCCGCATTTCAGAGAATCAGACCTAGTTTCACCCACCGAGTATCCGCTGGACAGCTCCTACAATGCAGCAGGTCCTAACCCTGGCCGTCCCTATCGAAGCACGCTCGGAAACAATTCCCCTGATGGTCAGATTCCAGGACTACAGGGCAGATTACGAAACAACCGGTCTATTGAGACATCCTACCAAGCACCAAATGCGATGGCACGTCAGCAACAATATTCTGGTGCATACGACTATGGCTATCCACCACAGGCTGCTTTAGCCACCATTTATCCCGTTGCACAAGCTGTGGCCCTTGCCAACCGCCAACCGCCACGTGACCTGCCGACTACTCAGCCTACAATTTCGCCTAGAATGGCAGACTTTAGGGTACAACAGAAGACCAGGAAGTTTGAACTCAAGGTATCCGTATGACTCCAACCTGTGCGTTCACCGAGCTCGTTATTAACAAATACAGGAGGCATATGGCCATATTGTAGAGTTTAGCGGGGACCAGTATGGCTCTCGATTTCTTCAACAACGGTTGGAGTCTGCCAACAGCGACGAAAAGGAACGTGTTTATCAGGAAATTATACCCGAAATTCTTCCGCTGGCCATGGACATTTTCGGAAACTATGTTGTGCAAAAAATGTTTGAACATGGCAGTCAGGCACAGAAGAAGTCCCTAGCCGCTCAAATGAAGGGCAACTTCTTTACTTTGTCTGTGAATCCTTATGGGTGTCGTGTGGTCCAAAAGGTGTGTTTCCCGCTATTCCGCCGTTTAAGCTTAAACTGACTGCGCATAGGCTTTGGAGCATGTCCTCACCGACCAACAAATTTCTTTGGTCAAAGAGCTTGAACCACGCGTTGTTGAGTGTGTTGAGAACAATAACGGGAATCACGTCATTCAAAAAGCCATTGAGAAAGTCCCTTCTCAATACACCAAGTTTGTAGTCCGCGCGTTCAAGGGACAGGTAGAGAAGCAGGCGAAGCATACCTATGGGTGCCGCGTTATCCAGCGGATGCTCGAGAACTGCGAAGAAGAAGACCGTCGATCCATATTAGCGGAGCTCCATCACTGCGCTCCAAGGCTCATTGAGGATCAGTACGGAAACTATGTGATCCAACATGTCATTCAACAAGGCGATGAAGCTGACCGGGCTGCCATGATCGATGTGGTTAAGCGGAAACTCCTCTGGCACTCCAAGCATAAGTTCGCAAGTAACGTCGTGGAGAAGAGCATTGACTATGGTAACGAAACCCAACGTCGAGAAATCATCGCGAAGTTAGCAACCGAGGCAGAGGGTGGTGACGACCATCTCATTGGGTTGATGGCAGACCAGTACGGAAACTATGTGTTTCGTAAGTTTTTCTATCTACTCCCGGGAAATCCTGTTGTCTAACAACCTTACAGAAAAGGTCCTTGGCCACCTTAAGGGTGTGGAACGAGCCGCGCTCGTGGAGCGCATCAAGCCTCTGCTGCCGCAATTGAAGAAATCCAACAATAACTGTAGCAAGCAACTCGCGGCTATCGAGAAATTCATCGGAGACTCGAGTCCGGCCCCGAATCCGGCTGTCCCTGCTTCAAACCATGCATCCACCACACCCCCCAATTCTCACAAATCCTCGCCGCAGCCAATTAAGCGCTCAGTGGAGGATCGCTTCATCACAACACCGCCCACTCCGCCACCAGCGGACAACCAAGGCAATGGCGAAAACACCGACTCTTTGTCTGCCTCTGCATCAGCGGAGGTCACGCCTACTCTTCATTAAGCTCGGGAATTCTCTTCTTCTGACATATTTTTACCCTACTCACAACTTAACTTCGTTGTTTCCAGATTGATATACTTATTTTTAATGTGGGCACATACATAAAGTGGTGTACTCTTCTTTATATTTTCGACCTTTTTCCATCTCACGGCTTAATGGCGCAGAGTCTGAATACATGGGCATGGCCGGAGTACAGATTGAGATTTTTCTTTTTTATCCCCAAGTATCTTTGCTCAACGCGTTTTACAGGTTTTAATTTGTGGATGGATTCTTTTCTTGTTCATTGATTTGATGTTATGGAGAACGAGGAGACGCCCTTATTACTGCCAATGGTTCTGTTTTTCTTCTGTCCAAATATGGAGGGTCGGCGTCTGGGATGGGAATTATTGCGCTTGACATGAATGACCTCGCGGGCTTGCAAATGGGACCTTTGAACATAGGGAGCCTTCAGCAGATAATGACAATCAGCTGGGTGAAAAGTGTTAATTACTTTGCTTTACTGGGTATGATGAATTTGTTTCGTGGTGTATGTAGTTACTTCTAGTTAGGCTGAGGCACTTGATAGTGCCCTTTAGATATAATTAAACTATAGTAGCACATTGCCACTGGTATTCAGTCACTAACTGCTTTCATTGTAAGTAAAAATGGTTCTTGGTATTGAAAGCAAATGTTACCCAGTATATTCAGGCTCGTCTACATCACGTGATACGGGTATCCGCTCCTCGCCCGCAGAACTCAAGATCGTTTCGTCAGAGCTACAAGCATACAACCAACCACCACTACAACTAGCTCTCAAGTCCCAAGTTGCGCTTTCTCTATCCATCATACCCCAGGCTATTTGCGCCGCTGAATAATACCCAACAAATCCACGAACCTCACACGGAACCTCCGATCCTACAACCCCTCCACTGACCCTGGGCTCCAAAGCTGCCAGATAAGAGAAACGAAAACCGGGGGAAAAAAAAAGGAAAGCGAGAAAAGGTCCAAGAAAAGAAATCGTCCAATGTCCTCGAACGTCGGCCTCTCCACCCCGCGCGGTAGCGGAACATCGGGCTACGTCCAGAAAAACCACGCCTTCCTGCGCCCCCGAAACTTCGGCTCGGGAGCTCCATACCCACCACCCTCAGGTGGGCCTGAGGGCGGTTCAGGGTTCAAGCAGCGTCAGCCGGATCAAGCGATTTTGGAACATGAACAGAAGCGGGAGATTGAAGTGAAGGTACTTGAGGAGCGGGAGCGGTTAGAAGATGCGAATGAGCGTATTGAGGAGGGAAAGGGCGAAGAGGGCGAAAAGACGCTCAGTGAAGAGGAGATTGATGAGATATGTGAGGAGTTGAGGGAGAGGTTGGTGAAGGAAATGGAGCAGAGGAGGGAGAGTGGGCGCGGGGAGAGAGATGGGAAGGGGAGGAGGGATGGTAAGAGGGGCTTCAAGGCTTATCAGGTTCACGAGCTTGCGGAGGCGAAGATTGCTGAGAGTGAGCGGCTGAGGAGGGCCTTGGGAATTAAGGAAGATGCTAGCGGTGAGCCTGTGAGCGCGAGGGGGGAGATTGAAAGGAGGAGGGAGAAGGAAAGAGAAAGGGAGAGGGACAGAGACTAGTTGGGGTTTCCTCCTATCTGTTGTACTGCTCTTCTCTCTTTTAAACTGATAGCTTTGCATGCTGGGCGTTGGGTTTTTATTGTATGCATGAGTGGATAAGGTATTTAGGGTCTGGATATGATTATGGCTTGGTTATCTTTGCAATATTCATGCATTGCTTTATCTTCGTATATATCGGGGTATTATTCTATGTAGTAAACTTTTCAATAATCCAACCCTGCTTCAAATCCTTCCTTTGGATGACCTTCTTTGCTGGTAACGGCCATCCTGTACTTCCCACTTCGCCTACCAACGACGGGATCACAAAGCACGCTCGTCGCTCAGGCACGCCATCCAACTGCTCGATCTTTCCAATCGGCTTGCCGTATTCGATAAGCGGCGTACCGTGAGCTAATGCCGACAGTTGAAGCCCACTGGGTGTGACTAGTGGGTACATCCTGATCTTGGGAGCATCTCCCGCCACGACTGAAGGTGCTGACTGTTGCAGATGGGAAAATATAATGTACTGAGGCATTTCCTTCGGTGAAAGCTTCGCAATCACAGACGTTGGATGAACAAAGACAGCCTTTTCGTTTAACTCCTTCGAAGGCCCGTCTCGTGATCTGAAGAGCGTGAGATAGGGCACGTCGATTGCGCGCTTTGGCGTGCGTTGCATCTCCGGAGGAACGGGGGCGAGGTCTGCCCGGATCGCAACATTGTCAATGAAGCCTGCTGTTACAATCTGCTTGAGCGCCTTGACTTGTTTCTCCGTTGGCTCCGGTAATCGCGGTTGGTAGGCCGCAATGAGGCCGGGGTTGTTGTTTCTTACGATATCGGTGAGCTGGCGTCTCAATTGCGCTGCCTCTTTGAGTGCTTTGGCGCGTAGGAACATTTTTTCACAGAAAGAGTCACCATCTGAAGCGTACCCGTAAGCGCAAATCGCGGAGAGGTATTTAAGTGCGTCGGAGTTGTCGTCATGTTTGCTGAAGAGACGGTGGGCTCGCGCGTAGTCTTTGTGACGCTTTTCCCGAGCCGTATCCTCGAGACGGTCTGAGTTTCTGTAAACTCCATTGTCCTCTGTTGATTCCTTGCCTACTGGGTCAATCTGGTTCTCCGCGACGAAAAGATCCCCGACAGCTAGAGCCGCAACAAGCGAAATTACATAGGGCATGCAACCGTGTTGGTGGCCGACGAATACCATCTTACCGAACCTAGGCGAGAGAGGGTATGTAGATAGGCTGTTTCCGATATGCGTAATCTTGCCGTCGGCGGAGAGAGCACCTAGGTTCTTTAGGAGCTTCTCGGCCTTTGTGATTCCCTTACGGCTGGGAGGTGTAGGGAAAGGGAAATTGATGACATTGTGGAGACCCATGCTCTTCATCTGCAGGACAACGCCTTCAATGGGCGTCCGTAGGATCTCCGGGTCTGTGTATTCGGCGAATTCGCCTTCGTATATCGCGGAAGAATATAATCGATAGCAGTGACCGGGTCCTGTTCTACCAGCACGTCCAGCTCGCTGGTTTGCACTGGCCTTACTGATCCAGTCGATTTGGAATTTCTGCACGCCCGTTTCTAAGTCGTATTGCTTCTCCTTAGCTCGGCCGCAATCGAAAACATACCGGACGCTTGGGATGGTAAGACTCGTTTCGGCCACGTTGGTTGCTAAAACGATCATTCGTGAGCCCTCCGGAGGTGGCTCGAAGACTCGGAGTTGCTCCTTGGTAGGAAGTTGCGAGTACAATGGCAGTACGTGAACTTTCGTGGACGAATCCATCGCCTCCTCGCCTTCTTCTCCTACATCGAATTCTTCATCTTCCTCGGGGTCGTCGAGACCAGTAATCTCGAGGTCGCTATCGTCATCCTCGTAGTCCGCGGTGTTGGAGACATCAACTTCACCTATTTCTAAATCCTCCGCCTCTAGTGGTGCTTCATTCGCGGATATCTGGACTTTGGCTTGAGCCACCTCTCCTCGTTGTGTCGGTTTAAAGGCCTGCTTCAAACGCTTGGAGAGCTGTCTGATCTCGTTCTGACCAGTCAAAAACACAAGTATAGCCCCTGGAGGAAGCTTGCGGTGGCCTCTAGAAACCTTTCTGAAAGCTTCTTCGACGTAATCACGATGCGTCCGCCGAGCGAAGTGAACAGAGACGGGGTATTGACGGCCTTCTGCTTGTACTAAAGGTGGCGGGCCCTGGCGGAAAAGACTTGGGTTTTGCGTGAAGTCCGAAATGCGCAGAGTTGCAGACATGACCACAAGTTTCAAAGGCTTTACTGAAGGGTCCTCCTCGCTCATGTTTTTGCGCAGGTCAACAATGCGACTGACCATACCAATAAGGATGTCGGTGTTGACGCTACGTTCGTGGGCTTCGTCGATCACAATGATGGAGTATTTGCTGAGAGAAAAGTCTTCGGCGATTTCCCGAATAAGAATACCATCAGTCATGAACTTGACCGCAGTCTTGCTAGTAGCAGTGCTCTCGAACCGGATTTGGTAGGACACTTGGGACGAAAACTGGCCCAACTCATCGCCTACACGCTTTGCCATACTTACAGCAGCAACTCGACGGGGCTGAGTGACTCCGATCATGCCAGGGTTTCCACTCTCGGGATTACCGTAGCCGGCTTCGAACAGGAATTGCGGAAGCTGCGTGGTTTTACCACTTCCAGTAGCTCCCCAAATTACGATGGCTGAGTTGTTGTGGATTGCCTCCATAATCTTCTGTTCCTCTCCGACAACAGGTAGCTTTAAACGCGCCTCCTGAACTTCCTCAGGACGATCAACCTGAACACTAAATGCTTTCCGATAAGGATTGCCTTCGGTAACCTGAAGTTCCAAAGGTAATGGCTCCTCCTCTGTGGCCCTATCTCTGACCGGTAACGCGGATGCCGATATGACTGGTTGTGGTTCGGAGGTTATCGGACCAGTTGTAGGCTTAAATCCCACAATATCATTGATCTGTTGTTGGGCCCATGACTTGAAGGCGGACTGCCGGGGCTTAATACGTCCGTCAGCAGTGCTTTCCTCATCCTCATCCTCGTCTTCATCATCATCATCGTCTTCTTCTTCTTCTCCTTCCTCGGCCCCGTCCTCGCTGTCATTATCGTCACTTTCTTGAGTCGTTGAATCATCCGATTCGCTTTCAGAGCCTGAATCCTCTCCTTTCTCCTCACTTTCCGACTCGTCAACAGATGAAGGATTCCCATCCTTTGTCTCATCCTCTGAGCCAAATCCTTCCCATGGTACTTCATTTAATGTGGCTGCCGGGGTTGGTTTTGATGCGCGTTTTCGTTTTTTGAGAATTGGGAAACCATCTGGTCCAAGTTCTAGAGGGCGTTTTAGACCGATACCGTTCATCACGTTCGACGACCCTTGATCCGCCGAAGTCGCTGTTTTTCCAATGGGCTCCGTTTTTGTCCGGGGTAATTCATCGTCCGACTCGTCACTGGACCACTCCGGCTCATTGCGTCCATCGGCGACATCCACTTTCTGTCTCGGGGGTTCACCATCATCATCTCTCTTCCGTTTTCCAAGCTCTTTTGAGCTCTGAAGGCCGGTGACTTCAACTCTTGACTGTGCAAGTTTCTTGAGCAGCGCAGTGTTTTCTTCTTTCTTGAGTTTATTGTCCTAAACAGGGTTAGAACTGGCGTTGAAGCACTTAGTAGGCAAAACATACAATGTATTTATCCAGGCGCTTCTGCTTTTTTGCAGATATCTTCGGATGTTGCGCTCTCAATTCTTCACGGAGTTTCTCCTTTCTGGCTTCCTTCTCGCTCTTCGAGAGCGGTGCTATCTCCGCCGCATTAGTATCGGTCGCGGTATTCGCAGCCTGTTGCTGCTGCCGATGCCTCTGTTTTCTTTGGCGGGGAATAAACTTCGGCATTATGACACCGTACCTCTTCTCGGATCCGAAGAGCAACCGAAAATGCGGAGTAAATGTTGTCAGGTTGTTGGTGATCTCGAGTGGAATCTAAAAAAATTCAGGCGGCGGTGAGATTCTGCCTTGAAGTGGTACTGATAGCCTCACCGCCTTGGGCCCATCTCCACTATACAAATTACTCCTCGTGTCAGTGTCAACCATCGTAAGTGCTTTGGTTATATACTCCTGTCTCTGGTCTTTACATGTTCTATCAAAGAGAAAAATAAATTTAATCAATACTGTCTCAGACTACTTTACAGTGTACAACCATGGCGGACATTTCCAGACTTAGTCTAGACCTTCCATTCCCCGCAGCCACCAAGCGAGTATCCGGAGATATTAAGGGAATTCAGACAGATATCATGACTGTCAAATTCAGTGACAAAATCATGATCACGATTTCGCAACAGGGGCGACTTGGGCATTGGGTTCGTAACCTAATCATATATACCAGAACCACGCTAATCGCTCCCAGCTTCATGTTCCATTGGAAAACAAAAACCCAGGCACAGAGGGTTCTCACAGGATTCCAGACTTCGCAGATGATGGTCTTCTTCCGTTAAGTGATTTGACAGCGACTTCGATTCTCGGGGGCCGTGTTCCTGGTCATGAAATTGTTGGTCAGCTATATGCTCGTCAGATAGCGAGTGCCATTGTCACGAAAACACCGCAAGAAAACCGCCTGCTTGTCGTTGGGCTAGGACTCAAAACAGCCGAGGCTGACAGAGACGTTTTCTTTGCCGTTATAGACCTTGTTCTCCAATGCATCTAGGATGCCAAATGTTGGGGGAAATGTCAAACTCACAAATCCAGACGCAGAAGCCGTTTCCCTCTATCGTCTTCTTCTGCCTATCAAACTTGATATTGGGGAGCTTGAGGCCAAGAATCAGCCTTGCGAGGCTATCACGCTCCTCTTCAGTAAATCCTCTGAAATTCAGCTTTCCGAGAAATTCGAATGCTCCGCCGAACAGCGCCTTGATCAAGACACCCTCGTCAAAATTAGTCGCCCTCCAGTTATTGCTGGCCACAATAGTGAGGTTATAAACGTGAATAGGCCCGTCATACTTCAAAGCGGAAATGAATTCCATAAATGACCAGCGACGCTGCAACGCCGTTCTCAAGTCGGTTGATCCAAGCAACAACATAATCGATCCAAACCGGCGATGCCATCCAAGCTTGTGGCTACGGCATGAGTATGTGACCCAGCTCTGTTGTCCGGTATCACAGCAAGGTAAAGGCTTGGGAAATCGTGTAAGGAGGCTTGCGGAATATATGCCAAAAGTTCGAATAAACAGCTTCCGGTAGCTCAGAGAATGGTACAGGGCTATTGAAGCCTCGTGATAAATAGTATGGGAAACGCTTAGAATAGCCAAGTTTGCGACACGGTTATGCCTGAGCCTTCCTATCTCCAGCGCGCTGCCATCATGTTTGAACAACTCTTCATAGATTCGGAACCTGACATGGAGCGGGAGACGATAAATATAGCAACACGTCCACCGGTCCCCCTTTTTGAGTGGACTTCTCGCAGACTTCAATCCATCTGAGACGATTGTGTCGTGATAAGTAGGCTGCGCACTGCGGTCTTCAAATCGGCAGATATAATTTCCCGCTTCGTCGTAAACTGGCCTAAAGAAACGCATATCCAAGCTGCAACTCGTAAAGAATTAGCATCAAGTCGCTCCGATACTGCTGGTAGAGCACAACTTACCTGGGGTTCCCTGGATTCAAACGGTTATGCCGATCCACTGCGCGTGGGCTTGTGGCAGGGGTTGCTTTTACAAGCGCTCGCTTGGTTCTAGCCATGCTTAGTATCAGGTGGTAAGGGTATGGGATTAACTTGTTTTTGATTCAGTTGCAAAGTTAAATTATAAGAAAAGAGACGCTGGGAAACAGGAAAGGCAATTGTGTTGGATCGGAGCTGCACTTGTACATAGATGTCCAGTGACTGTCAAAGAGAGTGTGTTTGTCTTTGGCTCTTTCAACAAAAACAATGGCCGGTACTAGTAATGTATCAAATTTTAATTTAGATTCTAAAGAAACTTTGTCATTTACTGGGGTTTTGGATATGCTAGGTCCCTGAATATCTTGGTTTACATAGTATCTGCAACTATACCTACAGTACTATATAAGGTAGCATGAGGCATCCTCGAGAGCTTAAAACGAGCCATTTCCAACAAAATCCCCTAGAATAAAACAAAGAGATATCCTCGTTCTATATTTCAGAAATATACAGGACTAATTCATTACATATCCACTGGGGCCTTGTCTCTCAGCGAGTAGCAGTCCTGGTCACGTGTATGCGGCGAGTAGGGACCGTCTCTGCACCTTTTCTTACTCTCATCACACCAACAAGTCATTCATTGAAAGAATAATCCACACCGGGCTTCTATTAGCGACGGGACTCGATACTCTTTGTTTTAGGTTGATGTAAACAATCTCATTCGCGCTGTCGGGTCGCGTTCTTCACTCCTGGGTTGATGTTTACTGCGGTTCGGCGAAACATTCAACACCAATTTACGGCTACAAGATTCCCTCGTTCAATATACCAGCACACATGTCAGAGAGCATCGCTTTACTCTGAACTTCACACGCATCGAGTCTTTATTGATACCAGTTCGACTGTGCGATTGAACATGGATTCTGAAGACGAGGACCTAAGAGCAGCAATTGCTGCTTCCTTGGGTAACGCCCCGTCTCCGGTTCAGAGAGCCAATAATCAGAATAAACCGGTTGTTGATTTAACAGGTGACAGCGATGAAGATGTGGTACCGATTTATCCCAAGTCCAAGTCGGTCATTAGCTCAGAGGCCAGCCGCGAGGCAAGCGTCGTTGATATTGCAGACGATGGTGACGAAGATCTAAAAAGGGCCATCGCTTTGTCATTACAAGAATCTGGCGCGCATGTGCCATCTTCTAAGCCAGAGCCCACGTCTGCTCCTGCTCCAGACCAGTCCCAGACGAAGGACCAACTTGAGCCCAAATCTAACGGGGGAGGCTTCCTTGGGCTAGATCGCAAGAAAATGGAGGAGGAGCGCCTTGCGCGCCTTGGAAAGAGGAAACCTGAAGAGACATCCCAATCTGACCAACATGAACTGAAGCGGGCGCGGACTGAACCCCGGCAAAGTGCCAGCAGTATACAGGCTAAATCAGGGCCTCCATCATCTGTACCATTTATTCAATTTCCGGCGGGGGTGGTTAAGAAGACATTCGCAATCGGAAAACCCAGAACCGATGATGATATCAGGCTTGATGAGGTCCTGCAAAGCTCAGATCTTGAACTGGCGGTTTTGAGTTCATTTATGTGGGACATGGACTGGCTTTTCGGCAAAGTCAATTTGAAAAGGAGCCGATTCATACTAGTTATGCAAGCAAAGGATGATGCTACAGTAAGTTAATTATCGGGTTCGATTCCAAGCGTCCATGTTTTGACCACTCTGACTCAAAAAGAAACGACAATATGAATCGGAAACAGCAACTATGACAACACTGCGTCTGTGCTTCCCACCAATGGATGGCCAGGTCAATTGTATGCATTCCAAACTCATGCTACTCTTCCATTCAAAATATCTCCGGATCGTAGTGCCAACTGCGAATCTCATTCCGTATGACTGGGGAGAGGGTGGCGGCGTCATGGAGAATGTATGCAGACTTAATACTTTATTGTTACCGGACTAACGTTGCCCAGAGTGTCTTTCTCATTGACCTACCCAGAAAAGATGGGCCAACGACTGGTGAATCAAAGACAAGTTTCTACAACGATCTCGTCTACTTCCTCAGGGCTACCACCCTCCATGAAAATGTCATTGCGAAGCTAGAGAATTTTGATTTCAGTAACACAGCGCAGTTTGCATTCGTTCACACCATGTAAGTCTAGTGTACCGGCCATTGATTGATTACTGACATTGCCAAGTGGTGGTTCGCATTCAGGAACTTCATGGAAACAGACTGGATACTGCGGGCTAGGCCGGTCAGTGGAATCTCTCGGTCTGCAAATTGACAAGCCACTTAACCTCGATTTTGTGGTACGTACAAATATCACAATCCCCACACCTAGTATACAACTAACAGCATTAGACCTCCTCGCTTGGTTCCCTAACACCCGAGTTTATGAAGTGCATATACCTCGCCGCTCAAGGTTGGCACCCTCCGCGCACTAATCCCAGTTCCATCTAATTAAGTATTCTACGCAGGAGACAACGGTCTTACTGAGTTAACTCTTCGAACGGCAAAAACTTTCCCCGCCAAATCCCTCTCTGATCCAAGGCGTCTTATCCAAGCATCCACTGCCGACGAGTGGGAGGATAGAATCCGCGTCTATTTCCCATCCTACGACACCGTTGTCAAGTCAAGGGGTGGACCAAATGCGGGCGGCACGATATGTTTCCAATCGAAGTGGTTTAATAATGGCAAGTTCCCGAAAGATGTGCTGCGGGATTGTGTTAGTGTAAGAGATGGGCTGGTTATGCATAATAAGGTACCTTCTTCTACAGCGTCTGTGGTTCTGTGATATACTAATTACTGGATTATTCAGATCCTGTATGTGCAACCAGACGAGCCCATCTCCGTCTCGGACGATTCCGAGTGTCCTGGTTGGGCATACGTCGGAAGTGCGAATCTCTCCGAAAGCGCCTGGTAGGTTCCTTCCTCTCTTTTTTTCTAATTATGCCTTCTAACCTGCTATTTTTCTTATTAGGGGCCGTCTAGTCTTCGACCGCACAACAAAACAACCTAAACTCAATTGTCGAAACTGGGAATGCGGAGTTGTGGTCCCAGTATTCAAAGAGAAGGAGAAAAGCGAAGCCTCAGAGCCAATCACGGAGAGTGAAACCGAAGACGAAACAGAAAACCAGCCACAGACTGGGAAAGGAAAGGGAGTAGAAAGCGGTGCTGGGAGTAAAGCTAAAGAAGAGAATACAGGGCTTCTGGATATCTTCAGAGGCACAGTACCCGTGCCAATGCGTTTGCCGGGCCAGAAATATGGTGGTTCAGGACCAGAAAAACCGTGGTATTTCATGGAGGAGAAATATTAGACTTTATCTATTCGGAGACAAGGAAGGTCTAATGTTCAGAGTACCTGCCTGGTCTCGACACGAGAACCGGTCTTGATCGATTAGTGCTAAACATACCCCCGCAACTTGAACTAAATGGGTATATATCACTACAACTTTACACCCCCTTTCGGTCCCCCATTCAACACCCCATAAAGCGCGCTCTCAAGCTCAATCAAAAGCCCTGTAACACCTGCATCCGCAGGGGGCATAAGCTGCGTGAAAAGAGCACCCGCAATGCCCGTATCACGATCGACCCACTGTGGTATATCGTGGTTAGCATCAATCAGAATGAGCCGGCCCGGATTGCACACACGCAACCCGACCTAACATTGTTACCCATTAGCATAATTCAGTAGAGACTCACCCAATGCAAATTCGGCAACCCACTCCAACTCACACTGCCTGCCCTTCTTCGGCCGGGTATATCCCTCGTCGTCACCGTGCCTGCTAGAGCGTGATTCACAGTACCTGTATCAGTAGACGATGCCCCTAAAATCCGCTTCATCTGCCACCCCAGCGCCTTGGGTAGTACCTTTGCAGACTCGGACTGTGGATCTAACTGCGGGGCAAATAGGAGATTGACGCTCTCTTCGCCCTTGTGGAATAGAGTGCCCCCGCCGCGGAGGAGGGATGTGAGGAAGGATGTGAAGTCAGTGGGCGTGCTGAAGAGGCCGATGCCGCCGAGATCCTGCTTAAGTGGATATTGCAGCGTTATGGGGCCTGGGGTTAGGGATGTTTTGGGGGTTGTGGTTGTGCTCTGGTTTTTATTTGAGACGGGGACTCGATAGGCCATTTCGAGGAGGGGAGGCTGAGTATTATTAGTAGTATTTGAGACACGAGGTTGGGAAGGATGATGGAATGTTGTCGAGGAGGCAGCTAGTTTAGAAAAGATGTTTTCCTGCATGTATTTCGAGAGCGGCGAGCCTGTTACGCGTTCGATCTGTATAGATCTGTCAAAAACGACTTCACTGGGCAAGAGAATGAAGGAGAGGAAGACAAACTAATTGGCCAGCCCAGTCAAGCCCAGCTCCATACTCCCAGGAGGTCCCAGGTTGAAAGAGTAATGGGTGGGTATAGCCATCCTATAACACCAGGTAGTAGATCGCATTGATTAGCATTTCTGTTGCCAGGCTCTAGGTGTGTTTCAAAAGGGGCGTGAATACCATGCTTCCGCTGAATGTATACGCTGATCTGCCCTGGGACTTCGACCATTTCTGGAGTAGGGGTGATGATGAGTCGTAAACGAAGCCTGAGGTGTGGCATAAGAGTTGTCTAGATGTTGTTTGTCAGTTATACTCAGTATACGTACATAGACCCAGGACATACCGCAGTGTAATCTTCCCTTCAACAGGGTCAAGCACTGGGTAATCCTTCCCCGAAGATGGATCTATCCCACTATAGTATCAGTATATCGTATAATCATTGGATAGGTAAAATTCCCCATGCTCAAACATTAATGAATAAATCCAAAGCAGTATGCAGGGTACCTACCAGTCCTCATCTCTCTCAAAACTTTGACACTCCTCAACTCCTCAATCTCCTCCTTCACATCATCATCCAAATTCAAAACACCCCTTTCAACCAACTGCACAACCGCAACAGCCGTGGCGAGTTTCGTCATCGACGCAATCCAGTAGAGCGAGTCGAGTTGAAGAGGCTTCGCGCTGGCAATGTCGAGACGGTCTCGCCCGGAGGCGCGGCTGTAGATTGTTTTGCCTAGAGGTTTTAAGAATATACCTTAGTACGTATAGCTTATAGTCAAGACAGTTGGGAAAAAGCCTCGATATAATACCTGACCTGTCGACAGCGATGAAAACCGCACCGTGGAGGATTCCCGTTGTGGGGTTTGTAGCGTTATCGAGGATATTATCGAGGGCCTCCATGGTGCTTTTCTTTATAAAGTATTCAATGAATAATTGGATGTTAGGGATCCACTAGGTTAAAGCCTCTTGATTTCAGCTGTATATGAAAGAAGTGTTGCAGTATTGTGTTTTTGTATCCTGCAGTTTATAGATATCTGCACCTCGGTTACCAGTAGGAGTAGACCGAGGTACTACTCTCATCGCAGTACAATCCCCTGGCGAATGGTGCTACAGTTGCTACAGTTATAAAAGCAGGGTCAAGCTTTAAACTTTTTAGTAGTATATTAAATAATAATAAACTGTAATACTATAGTAATAACCAAAATTAGAGTGCGCCACAAATGCAACTTAACGCCCACGCTCAGTCTATAGTTATGTACTGAAGAAAAAGCCCATTTCTTTTTTTTTTAAATATAAACCAACGACTTCTTCTCTTGCCTGTTTTCTTGTAAATGAGAGACAGAAAGCCGTTAGTTCTTCTTGGAGAAAACCTTCTTCACAGCCGACATGGCAGCACCAATTCCTCCAAACAAATAGCCCATGCCAAACGACCACCGCCTCACGCGCACGGTGTATATGAAGAAGTAAACAAGCACCCAGTTGACGATGACAAACGCCAAGAAGATGCCGAAGGAGCGCCACTTGTCGCCATCCTTAACGTTCAGCTGGCCCATGTACTCTGTGCCATTGGCATACTGGCAGTACTGGCAGTCTTCGGTAGCGTCGGGGTTAATGAGCCGCCCTACACCCGCGATGTTGGTGACAAAGTTGTTTGCGTAGTCAAAGCAGGTAGATCCCGGGGGAGGATTGAAGTGGGTGGCTTCGGTGGTTGAGCACTGGATGGTGATGCTGGGGAAGATGGCTGAGATGGCGCCACGAATCCACCAAGTTACCGGGTTGACGTAGTACATCCAGTACTTCCAGAAGACGGGGTAGTCGGCGTAAGGGCGAACGACACCGTTAAAGAGACCGGTCATGACGAAAAAGAACGGGAGCACGTTGGAGATTACGGTGAAGGAGGGCGCGAACGCACAGACCCATTGGCCCCAGGAAGCCATGAACACGAAGAAGAGCATTGTCATGAGGAAGACGTAGCCCGATGCGGAGGCCGCGACAGGGAAGCCGACGGCGAAGTACCAGAGGAGGAAGTAGACAGTTGCGGAGACGATGGCCATGGGGATCTCAGCGACGACATTTGCCGTGCAAAAGGCGAACCAACCGTAGATTCTGGATGGGTATTCACGGGCTTCCCAGAGGGCACGGTTCATGTAGAACTTAGGAAGGGTGGAGTTCAGGAAGATCGGCGGGAGAAGAATAACCAGGAAGAGGGAGAACATGCGGTTCTGCATGGAGGCGATCGAGTTATCGAGCATCCAGAAGGTGAAACCGTTGAAAATACCGATAATGACACTAGTGAAGAGCTTTCCGTAGTAGTAGGATGGGTCACGCCAGTGCTGGGTAAAGACACGCTGGGTCAGGAGATAGGTCTGAGTCCAGGTCGAAGCAGCGAATTCGTACTGCACGGTCTGGTCTTCGGTGGCTGTAGCGTCGCGGCGCTCGTTGTGAATTTGCTCGATCTCCTCTTTGACTCTTCTGCTCTGCTCTGAGTTGCGCCATTCCTCGTTCCAGTCAACCGTCACGCCCTCGCGCTTAATTGGTTTAGCAGCGGTTTCCAGGATAAACTCGGCCACGTTCTTTGCTGGCGGACAGACAGCACCGCGATCAGCAAAGTACTTGATCACGTCCTTGCCATCAGGGCCAACAGGTCCAAAGTAAAACGTGTTACCGCCGGGGTTCAAGGCCAGAATCATGTCGAACTGCTGGATCAGCATGGAAGAGGGCTGGTGAATAGTGCAAACAATGGCCTGGCCAGCCTGAGAAAGCTTCTTCAAGAAACGCACAATCGAGAACGCAGCCTGGCTGTCCAGACCACTAGTCGGCTCATCGAGGAAGAGCAAAAGGCTAGGCTTAGCAGCCAACTCCACGCCGATAGTAACACGCTTCTTCTGTTCGACATTGAGGGATCCAATCATAGCATCCTGGATCTCCTCCAGTTCCAAAAGGTCGACAATCTGGCTGACGTACGTAAGTTTCTCCTCCCGGGGAATGTTCCTGTCCTGACGGAGCAGAGCCGAAAACTCAAGGGCCTCCCGGATAGTGGCAGTGTTGTCGTGCAGGTCCATCTGTTCACAGAAACCAGTACCACGTTGGAAGTCAGTTGATAGAGGGCGACCATCAACAAGCATATCCCCACCAATGACACCCATAGTCTGGCGCTGAGCCAGGGTGTTCAGCAGGGTTGTCTTTCCAGCTCCAGAGGCACCCATCAGGGCAATCATAAGCCCTGGCTTTGCGTATCCACTAACACCATTAAGCAATTTCCGAGTTCCATTTCCGTAAGGCACCGTGTATTCAACATTATTCCAGGTGAAAACACGCTCGCTAGAAGAGATCCGGTTGAAGGCGGCTTCACTGCCAGGGCCAGACTCCGCCACAGCCCCATCGCTCTTGCCATTCTCCTCATCGTTGGGCTTCTGCGCGGCGGCCTTGATCTGCTTAGCCTTCTTGGACCGCTTGAAGACCAGGGCGCCACCGCCACCGCCGACGAAAGACAGGGTCTCCGTAGCGAGAATGGTAATTAGAATATACAGCACGGTGAAAGCAATGACAACACCAAAATTGCGCCAGAGGTGGTGGCGCGTGAACTGGAATGTTGTGCTGAGATAGTCCGCGCCCGCAACCTCCGTAGAACCGAGTTGGGATCCAGTGAGAGCGCAACCTTGGTATTGCGGATCAACTCCAGGACCTTGCGGGACCAACATAGAAGGATCACACTCCATGATGCGATCAGAGAATTCATTGCTCAAGACGGACTCGTAACTGTAGGAAAGCGGGTTGACGTAGAACAGCCATCCGAACCAGATCGAACCATCGATAAGACCTTGCTTCGGAATCACATAACCAACGAACAAGACCAGCACGTTCAAAGCGATACCAGAAAACCGTACGGCATCATCGATGGTCGGAGATAGTGCTGCGAACATGCGGTACATGGCCGTGATACAGAATGTGGTGGTATACACGAACAAAAAGTAGATCCAGAACTTCGAGGCAGTCGCATCAAGACCAGCGAGGAAATATACGATAATGGTGAACGGTACGGCCATGCAGAAAATAGCGGGAAAGTCGACAACCACACGTGCAATTGCAACAGCGGAAGGTCGGTAGAAAGCGTAGTCTTTGTGTCGCGCAACAATGGCCCGTCCAGAAACCGCAGGCATCAATTCGGTCAACTGAAGCCAGCCGAGGAACAAAATCGAGAAGAAAATGGCACCACCACGAGGGAAAGCGCCACTAGTATTCATCTTCTCACCGTAGAACAGAGATGCGACAATGAAGCCGTTCGAAATGATGATAAAGTACTTGGTGCAGAGAGAGGTCTTGTCACCCCACAGAAGCCAGAACTCGCGGCGCACGCAGGCAGCCACCTGTCGAGCAATCGAGACGGTGTAGGGGGACTTCTTAGAAACGGTCTTACTCTTGGATGACTGAACAGTCTTCTGGAAGCGCTGAGTGTCCTCGCAGTTGGTTTCCTGAAGCTTGGTCTCGTAAGCCTGGACCTCTGTTCCAATGCTCTTGTAGAAGTCGCTCTGTCGGAAAGCAGCCTCGAGTTCCTCAGGAGTCTTGGGTGTCGATGCTTCACGGCCCTCCTGGAACTGGCGCGCGTTGGGGTCACACAACGAAGTCAGGAAGTCAGCAGTGGTCGACTGCTCGGGGCAGTAGAAACCAAGGTTGACAAAGTACTGGCGAGCGTGATGCGCAGGACCTTGGAAAAGCATGCGGCCGGAGTCAATAACAAGCACCTTGTCCATCAGCTCGTAAATGCTTTCACCGGCCTGGTAAAGAGTGACTAGAGTTGTGCGCTTGCTAACGTCGGTCATGATACGAAGAGACTTGGCGTAGTCCAGGGCAGTGCTGGCATCAAGACCACGAGTCGAGTTATCCCAGCAAACGACGGAAGACTTGGTGGCAAGGGTCTCTGCGATACTAACACGCTTTCTCTCACCACCAGAGACACCACGGACAAACTCGTTTCCCACAAGAGTGTTCTTCGTGTGGGTGATACCGAACATTTTCAGCAGGGCATCGATGATGACCGGGATGCTTTCCTTCTCATTTTTCTTGGTCTTGTTGATTAGAGAGAACTTGAGCGTCTGCCAAACAGTAAGGTTCGGGAAATGCTGGTCGTCTTCCTGGTTGTAGTTGACTTCACCACGGTAGCGCCTGTCCTGCTCTTCGGCGCTCAGTCCACCGTAGCTGATATCACCTTCAACCGCAGCGAAAGCGTCACGATCGTTGGCAATGGCCTTGAGGAAGGTCGAGCAGCCAGCTCCGGGGCGTCCCAGAACCAGCATCATCTCACCCTCGCGAACAGCACCGGTGAAATCATGGACGAGGTCACGCACGGGCGGCTTCTTTCCGAAGCGCAGCTGGGGAACGAACCGGCAGATGATGTTATACAAGTCGGGTCCAAACGTTCCAACGACAGCATCCGGAAGGGTTCGAACAAAAGAAGCACCAGTCTGAACACCCTTGACAGTTAGATTCTTGAACACAACACCCACCTTCTTGGCAGGGTCTCCTGCGGTGGTCCGCCGCTCAAGATGGCCGCCCATCAGAAAGTCCGTCAAATCAAACTCGCCCGACTCATCCTCGCCCGCTTCCTCCTCCTCGAGAGCCTTTTCGGGGTCCTGATGCTGACTTGCGCGAGATCGCAGTCGACTGGGGCCGTCCTTGGTTGTTGACTTGGTGCGCTGCAGACTCAGTCTGGTCAATTCCCTTCGCATCTCCTCGTAGTCCTCCATGGCGCCGCGGCGAGAAACGGGCTCCGTTCCCTGCTCTCCCCACTGGCCGTCAGATGAGGATTCAGTGTCGCTACTGGATCCTGACACCATGGTGGTGTCGGATGGCTCTTCGGCCCCGACAGTCGGGACTTGGGCCAGGCCCGCATCGTGGGCTTTTTCAGGTTCGGCCATTGCGACCAGCTCCTGTTGGTAGTAACTTCGATAGCAGTGTATTAAGGTTGTAGGGCAACTGAATTAAATTTCTGGGTTAGGAAGTGGTCGGGGGGGGACCGAAGCATGTAGCGAAAACAGCGTGATTATTAAAGTAAAGTGCGTGGCGCGTGATATTTACAACAAAACGCAATTGAAAAGGGTATTTGGGAGTGGAGAGTATACTGCTAAGCGTCCGCGCAGAGGACGAGAAGCCTAAAGAAAGGAAACAGAAGAAAGAAAGAAAAGGATGGCAAAAAGCGAGAGCTAATGAGGGTGGAACTGCGTCATGGTTATAAAGGGCTCCCGGGGAGAAACAATATACGGGCCATGTGCATTACTAACGCACTTAACTCCGGGCAATGGGGCAGCAGCTTGTAAGCCTGGCCTCGGATTTGTCAGGATGTTGCCGAAACCGAAGAAAACCCAGAGCATCATCCTGAATCAGTGTCTGGTGCTCGGGGCGATCAAGCCTGGAACCCCGAAGAAACCTCAATCTTCGAGGGCGCAGATTCGGGAATGGTACGAAGTGCAACATGGTCTGGGCGGCGACAAGTGGGTAGTTCAATGGGAGCTCCGTGAGTCATGATGAGCAACAAGCAAGCCATTGGCCAGTCCAGTCGCAATCTTGAATCAGATCGTGGGGCGACAGCCAAAGGCGAGGAAGAAAATTTCTGAGCACGAAGGATCTTGCAGCGGAATGATTGGGCCGTGGCGGAGATAAGCATCCGGCGTCTATTTCCGGCAGGTGTTTGCCTCGCTTAAATGGCTGCCGCTAACTATACATGGCTGCCTCTGTATAAGGCCCTCTGCTTCACTTATTCCTCTGCTCCATGCCTCTGCGCAAAGACCCGACCGCATTCGTCATATCGACTCGTCCGACCTCTCTCGCTCACTCAGCTAATCAGCTTATTCCATGACAAACCCAAATCCCAGCAAAGTGGGAAACACAGGGTCAGGTTGCTGTTGGTGAATAATCCATCCGCATTAGCCCAAAAGTCTCCGAGCCACCCAAGAACAATCTCGCTCTCTTGAATCATGCTGTTTGCCTTGCAACCAAACCCTGCAAACTTACTTTTCGCCCACTTATCGCACACTTTTCACTGCCGCTTACGCCAAGGCCACCCATCTTTCCTCCGCTTGTCTCCGTGCTGACTGACCCAAGCGCCTTCCAAATTCGGAGCCCGCTGTTCAGACTTCAGACCGCTAACGTGAACCTCCCACTCCCTTCCATCCTTGTCGGTCAACCGCTTGGCTCGTGCTGTACCGAACTCCGCTAAGACTTTGGACCTAATTTCCAAGTCTATTCTATGCCATAGTCCAAAGGTAGCTCAAGAAAGACAGGTCGCACTAACTGCTAGTGGTAATAGTACCCGCACTCTGCGGCGGAAACCATTTTACGGCGGGCAAGTCGATGTAAGTGTCCGACGACGAGATATCAGGATCGGAGTTCCAGGCGCCCAACCAATTCTAGAGTCTTCTTCTCGGAGTAGCAGTCGAATCGAACCGCGGAGTTGGTGAACGTGACTGCCAATGGATCATCTATCTATCATGTGCTGCTTGCTTCCTGCATTCACCGCCATGTCGCGATCTACTACGAATCTGACTCGTGGCTCCGATGCATTCTTCTGTCGGTCTGCGGTGTGCGGTCTACCAGCCAAGTCTAAAAAGGAGCGGACTTCTTGCCCTGCTCGAGATTAGCTCCGTAGCGGCGTATATGGGTGCCAGCAGTCAAAATTAGATAGATCGATAAATACGACGCAGTTTGCGACATGCATAATGCACGATGCACGCTGTGAAGTATAATCCAATGATATGCTCCGCTCTACTCTATACAAATTGGACGACTAATGTACAGCGAATCAGCCGGCAGCCCATTATTCAAGGCAGCCAATTCAAGGGGCTTTCTTTCCCGCCGCGCGAGCGATGCGTTTCTGGACCTCCTCTTTTGAAAGAATTTTGACTGCGTCTTTGGAGAAAACGTAGCTCAGGCCTGACCAGACTGTGGTCGCAGCGACGAGATATCTAGTTATGTTAGTTTTGCCTGGAATAAAGTGCGAAAAACGAGAATAAAAACGAAATAACAAAATAAATAAGAAGAAAAAGAAAAACAAAACAAAAAACATACAACAGCTGGGATTCGCATGTGGTCACCCACCATACTACTAACCAGCCGGCGTGTGGCTTAAGTACGGCTGAGCGGACGGGAAGCCCTGTTTTCCACACCCTGTGGTCGTATGTACCAGACGATCCCTGAACACACCTTTTACCCCGCCAGGACTTCCAATCCACCCAGACAAAAATGCAAATAACATGCAAACGCAGGAAGGAAATACGTTGACAACTTACTGAAATGCAGTCATTGCTTCGTTCAGATTCCAGGCATCAATGTATGTCGCCGGAAGCACAGGGAGGGCCATCGCGCTCCCGACAAGGAGCAGCTGCAGCGCTGTGTTGACTTTGGAAATGCCAGTTGGCTTCACCTCCGCAGACGGGAGGGAAAAGTCCCAATACCGCGCCATGGTCTTCGGGGGCGGTAATGATATCCATCGGTAGTAGATGGCAGAGAGGGCGAGGCCAACGTCCCGACCGAGGATAATCACGGCAAGCCACACTATACCTGTCAGGTTTGAAGTTCTCAATGCGTTGGACGGAACTTACCAGGTATTGACCCGTTGACTGCAAGACAAGCAACACCAATCGTCATCAGCAATTTATCAGCCATGGGATCAATAATCGTCCCAACAACTGTCTGCAGGTTATACCGTCGAGCGATATACCCATCAACAAGATCCGTGATGCCTGCGTATGCAAAGAGAGCCAACGCTGTGGCATGATAGTCGTACACCAGGAAATAGCCGACTAGCGGAGCAGCAATCAGTCGCGAGAAGGTGAGGATGTTGGGAACAGTGTAAATGTTCTCATGGGTTGTCGGCAGTGGAATACGCGAGAGAATAGGCGATTTCTTTGCGGGGGATCTATACAACATCAGAACCAAGCAACTTATGCTGGAGCTCAAATAATGGGAACAGACCCTTGCGACTTGTCTAGGTCGGTTGACTTCTTCGCAGAGCCCCGTTGTTGCAGCCTGAATCTTAACCTCCATTGCTGGGAAAGTTCGGCAGAGGCAATTCCAGGTCTCTTCTGTGGGCCCGTGGCCAGTGTGAATATTGATGCTCGAGACAAGCCCTGGCTAGGTCCCCTGCTATACAGCACTTTCCAGCTAGATGCGGTGGTGCTTGGTCCCATTTGATGAGATACCGGCAACCGAGAGCATAGTCTCGGTACATGGAGAGTAAGCGGACAGCGTGCCGCCATATTTTCGGATCACAGTATTGCCGATTTTAAGCTGGCCGAGCAAGCAATTGCTTAGAGGGTCCAACGAGTTCTCTCCTCAGCCTGGCTCACATCCAGGTGTGGAGGTGCTATGAACGAACACTCGGTTTCATATAGTCCAAACAGTCACCGTGCCTGATTTCTATGTAAGAATTGATGTTTTGGGCCAATCCTACTCCGAACTACGCTTTCTCAGGCCAGCAAACAGAGCTCACGTGGACACTGAAATCGACGTAATAAGGGCGCAGGAGCAATCAACGTCCAGTTATCCACTAGCTGAACGGTTGAGTAGAGACAACCCGCTAGAAGTAAAAGGAGCGACAATGTTAAATTTGTGGATATATCAAAGGCAGCGCTGAAGAAGGAAAATGAATCTATACAAAGGTCAAAGCTGATGAACTTGGAAGCGCCAGGCTCGGCACCTCGGGCCCGGATAATAGTTGATCCTGTCATGTGGCACTCCCTTCCAGGCATCACGAGGGTGACAGTTACTGAACAGGAATATAGTCAAGAATAATTACCGGAATGCTTCTATGCGGTTGCTTGATGCGTTGGGTTTCACGTGGTGTGTTGCACTACTGTGACTCGATCATGGTGATCGCCTAGGTGGAGATACCGGTTCGCAGCTCTATATATTCCGGCACCACAAGTTCACAACACATCGCACAGGAGCATCCAACAAAAACATCACTCACAGCGTTGTCGTCATAGCGGATTAATTATCGAAATGGAAAGGTCACAACATAGCAGCTTTCCCAAAGGCGGATATTTGACGACTCAGTCCCATGCGGGAGGCCTACAGCTGCTATCCTCATCTGACGCCGCAGCTCACCTGACAAGAGGATTTACCCTGTCTCCTGGAAGATTTGTCCGTCAGAAGATAAGTATGTTGGCACAGTTTAACACAATGTGCTCAACTGTCTTCCGATCAGACCCCCGGCGGTGTTTCTCCTACCTCAACAACTCCAATATCCATGGACCGTCTATCCTGTAACCACCCAAACTATAACCATGGTGCTGAACCATCTCACAGCCCCGGTTATAACCTCCACAGAGGTACCACCACAGCAGCCAGGACCGGACACCGGAAACAAACCCAAAGAGCGAGCCCCAGCCTCCGATCCAAACATCCCTGACCACCGGCTCAACGTAAACAGACCCTGCATCTATGAGCGTCGTCTTCCAGGCAATGCCTACATAACAGCGCACGTCCAGCGCCTCCAGCATGGCTACTATTCGACAGACGCCGTTTCAGACCGAGATATCGATCATGTCGACTTCCTCGCTGTTAGCTTTGTCTTCCACTCGCCGGACACTCTCAACCACCGCTTCAAAGCAGCAACCATTCGGGCCTCCCTCCACCATCCTACCCACAACTGCACCACCAACAGACAAGGCTCCAGCAGCTCCAGGTCGCGACAACACCGAACCAACCACCCGCGTTTCTTAATGCATGCACCACACCTGCTTTTCGGCTCCGTCTCCCCCGAGACCCTTCAATGGAGCTACAGCCTTGCAGGCACCCTCGGCATCGCGCAGCTCCCGCTCATTGCATCCCTCTCGCCAGCCGCGGGTCTCAACGGACGATACAGAAGGTACGAAATGATGAGCATACAAGGGTCAGTCCGCACACTAGACGGGGCCGCAGCAAGCCAGATCGTCTGGACAATTGAGGAGAATACACTGCAGCGCTCGGGACTACCCCGTGAATTCACATTCGCGATGCTCATCGCAAAACCGGCACCCGAGAGCCGCGTCCAGTTTGTTCTGGACATTGAGCCCATTCTGCAGAGCTGGTTTGGGTCTTACCCCGGCTGGTGGCTGGCGCTGTTACGAAGATATCGCGCAGTTAAGAGGAAACGGGGTGTGGATTTCAGAACGAGTGTCGGGCAGCGGTTTGGCGGGTCCGTTAGGACATATTCTTCGTCGTCTTCGAGGAGGGGTTTTAATTTTGCGACGCTGGTGGCTGGCTTCGATGAGTACGTCTCTTTGTCTGGGAAGAGGACTGCGGTAAGTGCGGGCTTAACACCCATACCGGATACCCCGCGCAAGACATACATAGTTATACATCTGTGATGCTGACCAAGGTCTTTAAGGTTGTCGCCGGCGGAGATACACAAGACCAGACAGATGGGCAAATGCCATACCCATTCCCACTTCCGAATCCAAATCCAAATCCTAACCCAAACCCAAACCCGAACCCGTTCCAACCACAAGTGCCATGGCGTGGAGACGGACTATGGCCGAGGGAACCTCAGAACTCAATGCCACGCACAAGCGTCCGATTCGACCTTCAAGCCGCCGATGGGAATGCGGATATGACGGCAACTGCACAGAACAGGGGCCATAACAGTTACGGTGCCGGCAAAGAAAACATCAGCAACAGCAGCGGCAGCAGTAACAGCCGCGGCCGCAACAGTACCCAACGCAGCAAGCCGCGGCGCGAATGTTATCAGCCTCTATAGAGAGAAGGAGGGAGGGAGAGAATACGTAATGTCATGACAGACCGTTCTCTCATGCACCAAACATCCTGTTATCTCCCATCTGTACACTAACTAGCATGGCCAATGAGCGTTGAACATTATGATCTACTGCAGAAATTACTAGGTACGTATCGAATACCACTCGTTTGGAAAATTCTATCTTGTACGACCCAAAAACGTGCATAAAACGTGTAAAAAAGCCCGAAAGTATTTGAAATCATACCAATGTCCCTCATTGGCGGGGGTTCTCACCAATACGCAAGGCGGGATATGGAGATATGGAGATAGAGGGGGTCGGATACCTCAGTCGCCACACATTCTGGATACATTGATCCTTCAGGTATAAAGCAAGGCACATACATTGCAGCCCTCACCAGCCAATCAGCCATCATCCCCGTCACCGTCAATAACCACTAGGAGTAAGTCAGTAAATAGCGGGGTGAGTTGCAACTGCATACCTCCCATTCCACTTCGCCCATCCCCATCCCTATCCCCATCATCCATACCTGATCAACCCTGCAGGCCCTGCACAGCCATCCCAGAGGCATCCAGTAGAAGCATCCAGCGCACCTGCCACAATGAGTCATAATACCGGACGTCCCGACCACAGTCCCATCCCGCCCCGTCTCCTTACATGCCACATTGACATACTCCATCACTAGTTAGTTACTACACTTAGTAACCACTAGCTACCTGCCTTGACATACCAGCAAGAGACGAAACGACGCAGCGCAATGCAAATGCAATGCACATTGCCACATATCGTCAGTACGGACTCCATAGTCCACGTAAGTCGCGGGACGCAGGCCAGGCCTGAGAGCAGACTCCGACAAACCAAGGCAAGGCCAATTCCTTCTGTACCCTGGAGGGAGATACTCAGCCAAGGACAAGGAGGAGTCCCTCGCAGGAGTGCAGGAGTTAAGGGAGTCCAATAGAAAAAAAAAAAAAAAAAATAACACGCGAGACAGAGCCGTGCACGCCCTGCACTTCTGCGTCTCTAAAGGTGCCCGGGCATTTATTTCTTTTGCTTGCCACGCGTGCTGAACTTTAACCGACATACCGCCGAATATGAGAGAAAAACATGGGGTATTCACTAGTTCTTGCATGTGGCGAAGAATGGCATTGTGAAGGAAGGGGTTCTCTGACGGTTGGAGACTGACTGATTGATCTCAATAAGATAGATGGCGATTCCTTGGTACTCCTTCAGTAAGGAGGGGAGTAGTGAGAGGCACCTAAGTAGAAGCTAGAGAGGATGTGTTGAAATTTTATTCTAGCTCGAGTCATGGACGTTTCCAAGCCTCCGCACAACCACCAAAGGGGAAGTTGAAGACAAGTGAGAGTGGTTCGGGGTATCCGTGGTTGATGGATGATGAACCATATAGTACAATAATGGATCTACGATCGAGAAGTGGGATGCATCCGTAGTCGCGACAATCTCAATCTGACGGTATAGTCGAGTCGAGTCAGCTGGATGTCCTCTAGAATGAGAGGCAAGTGAACTGCGCGTCCGGGTCGTACTATCGTAATACTTTTATCCCTTGCATTGGCCAGCAAGGCTGTTACTAAGAGACGAAGAACAAGTTTGGCCCTCATACATGCATGGAGACTGCAGAATCTCCTCCAAGCTCCTAGAGGCAATGAATGGCACAGGGGTCCCAGGATAGATGAAACTCCAATTGAGTACTCCAGTCTTAAACAACTATCGGGCTGCAGAAGAAAAGAAAATTAAATAGTAGTCATGCTATTCGGTCGGTATCGGATGATGCCATACAGTTTTAATGCGCTTGGCACATCAACATCAATATCAGAATAGCCGACAGTAAGAAAGAATATGCTCCGTCAAGAGCCAAAGCAAAAGAGATCAGATAACCGCCCTAAACCGTGCCGCCCGAACCGACCCATTGCTCGTAAACGCATTAAAGCCAAGAACGAAAGACAAAATGCTCAATAACCCCTCCCTATGACAGGACACTGAGTAGAAAAGAAAGGAAAAAAAAAAAAAGGCTGAACAAACTGTTTTGGGGCTCGTCATGTCGTCGTAGAAAAGGTCAAAATAAAAATAAAAAAAACCGCCAAATTATACCGCCATTATTCTCTTACGAGAATTCAGTGTATCATCAGGGTAAATAATTCATCATAGAGTTTATGCAGGGTCTATTTCCCAAACTGCCGCCCTTACAAAAAAGACAATGGAATGGGGAATCACGGGGGAGAATGACAAAGGGAATCATAACAAAACAGAAACCGGGGACAAAACAGAAACCGGGGGGATTAGAACGTAAAACGGGGTAATGGGGCGAAACAACCGGAACCATGCAAATTAAGCGGTTGAAATCAATCAATCAATCAATCATGTCATATCTGCGGCTGAGCAGAAGCCGCCGTTGGCCATGTCGTGACGGGGTAGTTCGCGTGGGTGGCAGGCACCGGAGCATTCATGTAGTATTGGTGACGCTCGCTTCCAGGATAATACTGGGCTGCCGAAATGGGGTGTGATTCTCGACGGGGCATGCTGGCGTCAAAGCTCATCCCACGGTGTTCCAAGGGCGAGTGAGTAGACCCGTCTAGCTGACCTGCTAGGCTAAAGCTTGAGCCCCGGGAATACGTGGCCGGTGTCGATGGGTCCATTGGAGAGGTTGCGTCGGTGGCAACACTTCGCGAGGAAATCGAAGAATTTCGATAGGCCGATTGACTCTGGTCCGACTGAGACCGGGCCCGTTCGTTGATGACTCCTGGAAGAGTCGGAATGCTGGCCGGGATAGAGGAAGGCAGTGCACCGGCGGCGCCATGACTGAGCGGATCGAAACTAGTGCCATACGGGGCTGGGGCGCGAAACTGGGCATAGTCCTCTTGCTTTTGCGGTTGAGGGATATGCGCCGGGGCTGTTGGCGTAGGCAGGTAAGCCTGCTGGGTGGGACCCGGTCCAGTAAGAGGGAACCCGGGAACTGTAGTCGCCTGTGAAGGATGGGTTACCGATGCGTAGGGGTTCGCGTGCATATAAAAGTCCGTATGGGGAGTTGGCATTGGGTATGACGCTGGTCCCATCATCTGAGGACGATAAAAGAATGAATGATTTGGGTCGCTCGGGTTTTCGATTCCCACGGGCTCAAGCTCATCGATTGGAGCTCGGAAGCTTTGTTTTTGGGTCAGCTCTGCTCGGGGTCGAATGAACTTGAGTGACTCGACCGCAGATGGTGGCGCCAGGTGAGATCGCATCACGTCGTCCACGCTATAGTACGAAACAAGGTGGTGAGTAATGCCAGAGACGGTTACGCTCATCGTCTTCTTCACCAACCCCATATCCTTGAAGCCGTAGGAATCTACCAACGAACCGACCAGGGCTCTCTCGACGTCCGTCTGATGAGGCCGCTCTCCAAACCCACCGGCCGTTGGTGACGGAGAGTAGCTGCCGCCGTTGGTTTCCTGTCGCGGGTATGGCTCCCCAGGTCTTCCTGCCGGAATGGGGCGCCGGGTTGTCTTCTTCATCGCCCGCTTCTTCTCGCCTGGAGGGAACGGCTTCTCCAGCTCGCGGTAGACCAGGAAATTACCCAGGATACGACTGGGACTCCATGTTACACCGTCTGTCCATCGCTTGATTCCCGACGAATGCTCCTCGTAGATGAACACGCTCCCACTGCGCACCAGATGGCTGCGCTCTCGATCGTGGGGTCGACGCGGCACATGGTGCAGCACCCCGGCCAAGCATGCTTCGAAGAGGATTAGAGCATCCTGAGTTGTCGCGACGTACCCCGTGAAGGTCGGCTCCAACACCGTCGAAGTACCATTGACCATCGTTCCAGAGTATTGTATTTATTATCCGCTTGTATATTGTGCCCTGAACTCTGTAGAACGGAACCTAGCGGAGAAGAAGCCCGAGAGTGAGTTAAAAACCACGACGATCAAAGTTTCGGAAGAGGTTTGTGGCTGTCACGTAAGAGCGAAATCGATAAGAGTATATATAAGCTTGAAGCCGATGAATAGAGTAAGATTGAAAGGAGTGTCGCTGCCGCAGTAAAGGGTCCTGAGAGTAGGTTGGACGGTTCTCTTGAGAGCTCGAGCAGACTTTCTTCAACTTTTGACGGAGAGGTTTAGATAGAGAAAGAGAGAAAGAGAGGGCGTGCGAGACGCAAGGGAACCGAGTAAATAGTTCCAGAGCTGGCAACGTAGGGAGGCGGCGGCGGCGGGGACAGATCGGACGAGGAACGGGGAAGGCAAAATAATAACCTCAGTGCTCGCTCGTAAGGACAAGAAGAGGGGTGTGGAATGGCCGCACAGGAGGGAGGGATTAGCCTCCGGGATCGAAGGTAGCGAGAATGACAGGTCCAGGAAGTTCACAGGTTCAGCAGGCGTACCAGTGGAAGACAGGGTGGATAGCGCCAGTGTTTAAACAGCTTTCCCCCTCCAGACTACTGACTTTCCGGCTACCAGAATCCAGAGTTGCGAGACCCAGATCGACAGCAAGCACGGACCCGGCCTGGTCGTCTTCCTTCAAATAAAACGCAGCGCAGCGAATGGTCGCAATGGAGCGATGAATCTGGCCCCAATTCCAGCTGGGGAACTGGGTCGGATGGTGGCTCGCTGGTTCCACGGTCTCTGATCGGGATCGAAGACACCCTGCCCAGAGCTTGGGAGAGATGAACCAAAGTTGCCAGATGAACCTGCCGGCAATTCCCTGCCTGAAGCTGCTGTCAGGAAGAAGTTAAATCACTGCGGCAAAAACTTTAAAGGCAGAACGGTTCTGAAAAATAATGGTAGATAAGGGACTGGCCAGGAGAAAGGATGATCGCAGGGCGATGGTCAGTCTGTTGTCGTCGTGACCGTCACCGTGGGCTGATCGGTGCGCTGACACTGTCGAGGAAGGAATGAAGGAGGGATTCAGTGAAGCAGTGAGCAGCACATTATTGTGGCAGACCAGAATATGATTACTATTATTAAGGGAGGCAAGAGAAGAGCGAGCAGCAATACTTTTAAGGCCCTGATACTATGATGA